AAATACCAAGGCTGGCACAAACATCACCTTCCAGATTGGTCCTGAGAACAATATACTCAGTGATGAAATCTTTCATAAATGTTAGTTTTCATTACTTTTTATAGAGTGCCTTACACATCGAGCCACTGGCCCCAACCCTAAAAAGTTGTCAACTTTTCTGCTGACATAAACAAAGAGAACAAAAGCATCTTAGTCCTGTTAGGGAGGCACATTTTCCCATCACACAGAAATAGTTGATAAAGCAGCCCGAGCATGGCCAGCAGCATCTGTCACCCAGGGACAGAGCTGCCCAAACCGGGGTCTCTCAGCCCTTTTAATGCACTGACCATGTCACCTAGAGGAAAAGCAAACTAGAAGTATTTCAGCATTTGTGCTACACAAAATAAGTAACAACTTAAAGTCCAGCTGTCAAAACTTTCATTCTCCCTTCGACTTCCATCAGGCAGCAGCCCAGGCATGGACAGGGAGCGCCGTTGCCTTCTCTACATTCCCCTCTCAGCCAGGGCTCAGCTGGGTTGAGACACCGCAAACACAAGCGATCAAAGGCTCTGACACAGCAGCATCCCCACACCGGCGGGTCGGGGGCACCGTGCCTGCGCCCGGCGCGGGGAAGGGACCCCTCCGTGGGAAGCCGCCCGTCCCCGCGGGGCCCGACCCTGCTGCCGCACCTGAAGTCCTTGTCGGTGGAGGTCATCTTCTCCAGCAGGCTGGAGATGTGGTAGGAGACGCTGGCCATGGCGAGGGGCCGGGGCGGCTCCGTGCAGGGAGCCCCTGAGGCGGCGGGACGGGCCTGCGGGACGGGCCCGGGCCAGGCGGTGCCTCTGCCCGCTCGGCGGGCTGGGCTCGGGGGGGCCGGGGCAGGGCTGAGCTGGGCCGGTCAGGGCAGAACGGAGCGGGACGGGGCAGGGCCGGGCAGGGCAGAACGGAGCGGGACGGGGCAGGGCCGGGCCGCCCCCTCTCCCACCGCCCGCCCCCTGCCCGGCGAAGGCACCGCCCGCCCCCGGAACCCGGCGCAGCCGGAACGCCGTCGCAGGCGGGCGGGGCGCGGCGGGAGCGGTTGTGCGAGGCACCGCCGTGCCACGTCTGAGGCGGGCAGAGGCCGGGTCGGGACGGCGGGGCCGCCATGGTGCGGGGGGACAGCGGGGACGGCGGGGCCGCCATGGTGCGGGGGGACAGCGGGGACCGGCCCGGGGTCAGGGCCGGGCGGGCCGGAGCCGGAGGGCGGGGGCGGCCCGGCGTGGAACCGGCGGTGTCCCGGGGCGCGGCCCCAGCGCAACCGGGCGCGGCCGCTGCCCGCCGAGGGGCGGCCGGGGCCGGCCCGGGAGCTCCGGGGGCCGCGGCCGAGCGATGATGCGCTCAGCTCCTTCTGCCCTCTCTCTCTGCAGGTCTCGGTCATCAACACCGTGGACACGTCCCACGAGGACATGATCGTAAGTGTGCGGGAGTAGCTGGCCCCCCGGGCCGGTTCCGGCTGGAACAGAGCTGCCCTGGGGCGCTCTGTGCGAGGGGCGAGGCTGGGATGTGTGTGCCGTGTGAGAGGACACTCGTGCGGTGTTGGATGCAGAACGCTGTCCGAAATCCTGATCCTGCCGTTCTATACTGGGTGGACAGGAAGACTCAGCTACGCGGGAAAGGAGAAATGATTTAAAACCTTAATTTTCATGCACAGGCTTGTTTCTGTGAAATAATATATGTGTAAGTGTATTCTAAATGGTACACAACTTCGGCTGAGGAAACTGATTTTCCTTTATGTGGGAGCACATGTCTTAGTGTGGGCAGGAGGAAAGGTTTCAAAGTAATTTGTAGAAGGAAGGAGACCACTTAGATGAGCCCAGTTTTTCAGGAAGAATTTCTTCACAGGAGGAGTGGTCAGGCACTGGCAGGGTCTGCCCAGGGAGGTGGTGGAGTCCCCATCCCTGGAGGTGTCCAAGGAACAACTGGCCGTGGTGCTCAGTGCTCTGGGCTGGGGGACGAGTTGGGGATTGGTCAAAGGGTAGACTTGATGGTCTCGAGGTATTTTCCAACCTCAGTGATTCTGTGATGATGAAGTTTCAAACATAACTAAGAGCTCAGTGTTCGTACACCCACTTTACCTTTTAAGAAACAAGAATACATAACTGGTCACTGCTTTGTAGTCAGCAGCACCAGTTCCCAGCCCTCTCCTGAAAATGCTGTGTGTTGCTACTCAGAATTTCCTGAATTCCTTCTGTGTAACACTTGCATAGTTAGTGAAGAAGCAGTTGGTGAAACAAATGACTTGTGTGTCTGGATTGTCTAAAACTGCCCTTTTGACCCCAGTGTGTTGTGCCTGGGGCAGCTGTGCCAGTCCTGAGCTGCAGTGGGGTTGGTCACCGAGCCGAGCTCAGCGTGCTGAGCACAGCTGTCCCTGCCTTCCTGCAGCACGATGCACAGATGGATTACTATGGCACTCGCCTGGCGACCTGCTCCTCCGACCGCTCCGTGAAGATCTTCGACGTCCGGAACGGAGGGCAGATCCTCATTGCAGACCTGAGGGGGTGAGCTGTCGTAACAGCAGTTTCATTGGGGAAGCTCTTAATACCTTGCTCTTTTGCCCTTGGGCAGCACAAGGTGCAGGTGGACGCCAGGGTGGACTCCTCCAGGGTTGTGCTGAAAAACTCCTCAGATCTGGAAGGGGGACAGAGCACCAGTGGGAAATACACTGGGGCTTGGTCATTCATTTAGTACTTGACACCTGTGATTTTCAAGAGATAAAAATTGTACTAATACAAGGCTAAACGTTTGGAATTGTTTTCTATGGCAGTGACAGCCCTGTGTCAGGGCACTAACATTGCCATCTTGGCATTACCCATTCTTCATGTCAGGCCAGCAATTCCTTCTGGAACAGTGATTCACATCAGTGATGGCTGTGAGGCAGCCCCAGCTAGGAGGGGTTTCTCTTCCCTTTTCCACATGACATTGTTTCTTGCAGGCACGAGGGTCCGGTGTGGCAGGTTGCCTGGGCTCATCCTATGTATGGGAATATCTTGGCTTCCTGTTCCTATGACAGGAAGGTTATTATCTGGAAGGAAGAAAATGGCACTTGGGAAAAGACCTATGAATACACAGGACATGATTCCTCAGGTATGGGAGTTTGGAGCTGGGAAGGGCATCTGGGGAAATGAGGGGATTCGGGTAAGGTTGGAATAAATCTGTCAGTGTTAAGGAAGAAGCCCTCTGTCAAACAGACAGAGATAAATAGTGGAGAGAGAGTAAATCTGTCCAGCACAAACAGGACCTTTACCTAAGGTCATATTACTGGATAACCTCCTGTCCTGATTCATAGTGTTTGCACACGAGTTGTTGTACAAAGAAATCAGCTTTCAAATAAAGATGACAGGGGACTGAATTCTTGAGGGAAATCTGTCTATGTCCAGTAAGAAAAAATGAATTTATCATGCAGTGTTTTGTTTTACAGTGGAAACTTTTGTGTTCAGATGATTTGTCCAGCCAATGCAGATCTGAAGTCTCCAGCTTTGCTGTGTTACTGATACAGATTTTACATCCTCTGCCTGCCATTCAGCTCTTGTTTTAGTCAGCGATGCTCCCCGCTATTGCCAGTTTTTTAACCTCATTAAGAGTGCTCTGTTGGTGTTCTCATTCTAAAAGGGTTCCAAAAATAAAAGCCATTCTTTGTCATTCTGTAAACAGTGTTAATTGACTGGCTTTGCTGAAATTCAGGAATTTCAAGACTCATCCTCAGCTTTCAGAGCCACTCGCTTTTGGTGACTGACTGATACCAGTCAGTGTTAGGCAGTCCCTGTGCTGTAATCTGTGTCTCTTCTTTCCCAGTAAATTCTGTCTGCTGGGCACCACATGACTATGGACTGATCCTGGCCTGCGGCAGCTCTGACGGGGCCATCTCCTTGTTGAGCTACACGGGAGACGGGCAGTGGGAAGTCAAAAAGATCAGCAATGCACACACGGTGAGTCTGGGCCTTTGGAGCAGCAGAGTTCCAGGAGCTACCAAGGGGATTGTTGCCTCAAAGAACTTGACTAGATAAATACTGAAATCCAGTGAAGTGGTGTGAAACATCAAGAACCAAGAATAACTTGTTTGAGTTCATCCCGAGTGGGCAGGTACACTTTGTAGTAACTAAAATGAAGTGAAA